CCGCTGCTCGCAGGCGCGAAGGCGAGGCGTGGAACTTCGTCACCTCAGTGCCCGGTCACCTTGCTGGGATGAGCTGCCGTGCCCACTGCTCACCCCCTGCCCTCACTGCCTTCAAAGATCAGCAGGCACAGAGCTGATGTGAGGAGGAAACGAGATGAAGTATGCTCCCCTAGACAGATCTCCCTCCTCTGCTCCCCGTGCCCCAAGTCCAGGCTCCTGCCATTACCAGTAGTAATAATTAGATGACTTCTCCCATTTTTCAGTCATGATTCACAACTGGGCTAGGACTACAGACTGCAGCTGTGCTTTAAGGTACTAGAGGCTGTGTGAAGGGACCCAATAGCAGAGCCTGGAGACGGATCACTTTCTGGCAGTGGTAGGAGGACACCAAAAGGTCCCCATGTCCCAAGACAAGTTTCACCCAAACACAACACTAATAACTAGAATCAGATGACTCTGAGCAGGGAAGGCTCTGGTCCATATGACGAGAGGAACCAGCAAAAGACTAGAAAAACAGATCAAATCCTGCCCTGTGCTTGCAGAGGGAAGGCTTTCCTCCGGACTATCACCTTTCAGGGGCTCCAAAGAGAACAGGTTTTGCACAGTCACGTCCGCATCCCTGGAAAGTGCTGCTCTTGGTGCCTTTAAGGCTTGGTCCCAGATCTGTTCCACATGGGAGTCTCCCACTCTGCACCCTGGCTTCAGACTGCCTGTGTAGCACCACCCTGCCCTCCAAGGATCGCAGGTAAGGCCTAGTCTCCACTCCTTCCAAAGGGCTCTCCTTGGACAGGGAAAGGGGGTGCCCAGGCTCTTTGGCTGTGTTTAAACAGATGTACGTTTCCAGTAAGTCTGCCCCCACACGCTGCCATGAGTTGCCATGGTCAGGAGCAACGGCTTGCACACCAGAGTTGAAAGACGACTAGATGTCACTCCTGTACAGGGGACAGAGGTTTTACTAGCCCATTCAGGGGCCAGTACAACCAAGTATAGTAGAGAGGAGTGATGGGCACATGGGTCTTCCTTACAGCTTGCTAGATCAGGGCGTAAACAGGGAAGGTCAGGCTGTCTCTTAGCATCTACCCCCATCCCCCTCCCCTGTGCCTGTTTGTTCTACAGTGAGGGCATTTCCTCACCCTGCTCACAGTCACAAGGCAGGGAAAGGGGAAGCCAGTAAAAAGAGCCCCTGTGACACCACAGCAGTTGTGCAAGAGACAACCTAGAACCGCCTTTGGTCTCCAGATAGATAAACTGACATCTACCTCAGTGTAATGTAGACACCTTCTCTCCATACCACTGCTCCCAGGCTCTGAGAAGCATTTTGGACTTGCACACTAATCAGAACAGGCTGATCTCAGTTCATTTCTAGCTCTGTCTAAACTACCTCACTCAGCAAAGCATCCAAGAGCACCTCATGCCCCCGGCCCTACACTGTGCCCATCCTGCCA